TTTTCATAAGCTGAACGCCATAATCATCACAATTATACCAAAGTAAGGCTTGACATATCTCGCTTTGCATGTAATGCGTCTGTATCTGGTTTCACCTTTTGAGTTGCCGTACTGACATAAATGAACATTTGCACAATATTCTAATTTTTCGAGTTTCACCTGTATTCTGATCAAAATGAGCAACTGAAGAGGCTGCCGGTAGAGATGAAGAGATCATTGATGTTTTCAAGGTAAGTTTGGGGTTTCCTACCTGTAAGATCTGCAACTGTACAAAAAGAAACTAAGTCATTAAATGGGGTTTCAGAAAAGCCTAACATGGAATAAACATGTTCAGTGGCATGAAGAGCTGCGCGATTTGGAGGAGCATGAAAAATTGAGGGTGGATGGAGTATCCTGAAGAAATTATAGTTAACTTTCGTTCCAAGGCGTAGCGCAGATTCTATTTGTTAATTCCCATTTAAGTGAATGCTGCTTTTCTTTCAGACGGGGGCAACCAAAGTGCTCCTTTTACAATCCAAACTTATCCACATCCATTCTCATAGGATACCCCATACCAAGAAGAAGAAAAGGCTTCCTCTCCATCTTGGTTAGTCCAGGGTTGTAAGGAAGCCTACTTTCGATATGCTATGTAACAGCACCCCAACTTTTCCCTACTTGGTGCCTTCCTGATGTGTCAGCCATACTAGCTCCATAGCATGTTTTTTGTTTGTGCCTCCAAGTCAGTCTTGACTCCCGGCCTGGGTGAGTCCCTGCAGTTTTCTTGGCAAGGTTTTTCGGAAGTGGCTTGCCATTGTTTTCTTCCTAGGGCTGAGAGAGCGGGACTGGCCCAAGATCCCCCAGCTGGCTTTGGGTCTCAGGCGGGACTAGAACTCCTGCTCTCCAGCCTGGTGCCTTAACCACGCCGCCAAACTGGCTCTCCAATAGCGTATACGAGAATTGAAATCCAAAACGTAGGAAGGGCGCCACGTTGCAGAAGGCTCCTCTGCCCCTGGAACTCCGCGGCGAGGCCGTGTCGCTGTGGCGGAGCGGCAGCAGGAGGCGCTGTGTCGCCGTCGCGGAGCCCCTCTGTCTCCTCCTCTGTCGCATAGAGCACCCAGAGGGAGGGGCAAGTCGCTGTCCCGAACTCGGGAATGGGGCGCGCGTGGCTGCTGCCCGCTGGCGGGGCGTCTCTGACCGAGGTGAGGAGGTGGCGGAGGGTGGCTGCGGTTCCCTGAAGGAAGGAACGGAGGAAGCGGTGGCTGTTTTGCAGAAGGGGGGGGCGGGTCGGTCGGTCGGTGGGCATCTCAGCATGATGGGAAGGACAGGGCTGCCTTTTAGGAGGGCGCGACTGGCATGGACACTGGGAATGTCACGCTGAGCGAGAGTCAGGAGAGGCTCCATGCGGGGAGCCGGGCAAGACCGCCGAAGGACGTCGGTGGTTCGTGTCGCAACCATCCCGGTGTGCGCCGAATGCGATCGGGAAGATTTCTTTCAAGACGCAGCAGCCCTGGCGGGTTTACCCTCTGGTTTTACCACAGCTAGTGAGCGCAACTGCGTCGTGGTCTGCGGCTCAGTGTCTCCTTTCAAAGGTGACCCGAAACTCTTCGGAGGAAGAGGACTTGTTTTCGAGTGGGGGTGGGGATTCTGTTCTGCACGGCCTTCTCCCAACTTAACCAGTGGCTTTTGGGGTGCTCCTTAGGCGCTCTGATCCGTTCTTTGTGGGGATTATCGGGGTCGCCTTTGGCCACAAGAGGCTCGTGCTTACGTCTTTCTAAAAAAAAAGAAAAAAGTAACTTGGGAGAGTTACTCCTCCCCTGCCCCTGCCTGTGTATTACCCCTGGCTGATGTAATATCTCCGAAAGGATGAATGAAAAGGGGAGCGGCGTAAATGCCGGGAACGGATCCGTTTGAAGAGAAGGCGAAGGCTCTTTGTTTGCAACCTAGCTAGAAAAGGGAAGATGACCGATCGGACTGGAGCTTGGCTGGCAGAAGCTGCATGAGCCTGGCACGTGATGTCGAGGGAGGGAGGGAGGGAGGGAGGG